TTTAATGAATGTAGCATAATCACACGTAAAAGAAAAATTCCAAATACATTTATAATAGAATTATACATTTTCATAAATTGTTCATGTATTTATCTCTATTGAAGAATAAAAATAATTTTATACTAGTATTTCCTAGTTATCTAGAAAAGTATTTGTAATTAGTATGTTTTGTTATTAGGTGAGATAATTAAAAATTGTGTTTGTAGCTAATCACTCCTCTCTTAAAATTGAAAGATACTATTATTAATATCTAAGACCGAAGTCTTTAGTCCCTCAAAAAGAGTGTATGTATTGAGACATAAGTTAATGGCTGAACCATGGAATGTTAATTATTTTGATTATTCTTATCCATTAAAACCCTAAGCCCATTAAATCAAATGAGTTGACTGTACTTTCAATTTAATTATCAATTCGGTATTTCAATCCAACTCATCTAACTTTCAGACTTTATATTGATGCGCAAAAGTCTGGTCGGAAACTTTGAAGTTCATTGAAGGACAGAAATATGAGCTTTTTTGTTTAATTTAGACGGGTAATTGGGATCTCACAGTTTTATCTCAACAAATAACTTGAATAATTGTCTCTTGTTGCTTGCTTGTGAAGATTTTATCTTGTGTTTTTTTACTCTTAATAGTATTTAAAAGTTTCCATTAATTTATTGGCAGATGGCTGATGACCATCCTTATACTATTCCTGAGATGGATCCTACTCTTCGGAAACAAATTCAGGAGTGTAATTGGCAGATTGTGAATGTTACAACTCCTGCAAATTTTTTCCATGTTTTACGCCGGCAGGTTTGTAGTCGACACCATCATTCAATTGGTGTTAGTTTGGTCACTTGATTTTTGGTACTTATTTTCTCACTGTTGCATTGTTTTCTTCCAGATACACAGGGAATTCCGTAAACCTCTTATAGTAATGTCCCCTAAGAACCTTCTCCGTAGTAAGGTTTGCAGATCACATTTATCTGAGTTTGATGATGTTCAAGGACATCCCGGTTTTGACAAACAGGGAACCAGATTTAAGCGCCTCATAAAAGACCAAAATAATCACTCAGGCGTTGAAGTGGGTATAAGACGTTTAGTACTTTGCTCTGGAAAGGTGTGTGATCCTTATTGGAACTACTCTTCCAATGTGTTAGGATTTTTATAACTATCGATGTCTTGTATTCCTTGCAGGTTTACTACGAACTTGATGAACAGCGAACAAAGGAAGATGCAAAGGATGTTGCAATATGTAGGGTGGAACAGCTTTGTCCTTTCCCTTATGATCTTGTGCAACGAGAGCTTAAACGATATCCAAGTATGTCTTTTCAACGTTGAAGCTTTAGTGTCTGTTACTGTTATTTGTTATTTTACATTATAGTTTATTGTGTTTTTGGCAGATGCGGAGGTTGTCTGGTGTCAAGAAGAGCCAATGAACATGGGTGGATACACATATGTTTTACCCCGGCTCATAACTTCCATGAAGGCTGTAGGTAGAGGAGGCTATGAAGATGTTAAATATGTTGGTCGTGCTCCTTCTGCAGCAACAGCTACTGGTTTCCTCAAGGTTCACCATAAGGAGCAGGCTGAGCTAGTTCAGAAAGCCATTCAACGAGAACCAATCAATTTCCCTTACTGAGCCACAGCATCTTCATGGTTTCTGCAGAGTGATGAAGGCAATAATTGGAGGTCAGCTTGGAAAATTATTAATATTTGTTCCTTTTTGTCTTTATGTAGAGGTAGTTTTTCTTTGGTACCAAACTTGGTCAATTGTTCTCCAACAGGTAAAATTGTTTTTAGTCTGATTATTATTATTATTACTGACTAGTTTCAATGTATAACTACTGTAGTCTAGGTTTCGGAAAATGGATTCGCTTTGAGACAGTTTAGACTTAGTTGTATCTCGTATGTACTGTTTGTTCAGTGTATTTTGCTAAAAAATAAAGGGAAAAGAAATCAGGAATTTAAGTCTGTATTTTTCCATCGTTTTTACACGAGACAAGAGTTTTGGACACTGAAGAACACTCAATTAGTGGATTCAACCATGGCTATGAATAAGACTTCCTAGCAAGCAATTTGAATCTGTGAGAAATCATGCCAATATGTTTGATGCTGCGAGGAAACTCCTATCCCTGTTTCTACCCATATCATCCGAGGTTTGCAGCAATGGCTAGCTGTATCATTATGGAATCATGTTGCTGCAGCAAGCTTTTTTATCCAAGTTGTAAGAATTTTCAGCTCAGACAGCAATTTTCTAATTTTCTAGCCCTAAGCTTAGGAAATAGGCAAAAAAAATTGGTACCACAGCTGATGAACCTGGTCAATTTTCTTATTCACCTTTTAGATCATTTGATTTCAAGTGCTTTTTGTTGTTTTGGGGACAGTCAAACTGGTGATGATTTACATTTTACAAAATTAATTAGTGTCAAGTTCTTTCAAGAACTTTTGGGAATATACCCATTCACAACCTTCGTTATGAGTCACACCTAAGTCCCACACAGATTATAGTAGATAACGGTCACCTGACATTAAAGAATAAAAAGAACCTCCTAATACTGAGCAAATCATACCTTTCTCGGCCTTTTGGCTAAGATCAAGTGTAGTATCTGTTCTTATCAGTTTAATATCTGATATGTGGGCCAATGGTCCACACGATATTAAATTAATTTTTTAAAGGGGAAGGTCCACAGCGGTAGCTTGCTACTGGGTCCTTCAAGTGTTGCTCCTGTGTTGCACTATAGCATGGGCTGGCACACCCTCCAATCTAGTTCTATATATTTATTAAATTTATATCCTAATTTTTAATGGTCAAAACTAAAATGCAATATAGTAATCTTGTAGTTTAACTTAAAGCATGTATATAGTTTTATTTATGATTATTCGTCTCTATCAAAACTATATATTATGACGAATCCTATATGGATATAATGACTATATATATAATGACTACAATTGTTTTATATATATATATTATATAAAATACATTTTCCAATATTACTTGTTGAATTTTTTTCTAAAGTTTAAATCATACTATTTTATAAGGAGTGATATTTAAAATAATGTCATATTAAAGTTCTAATTGAAGACAATTATAAAAAAATAACTTATTTTTAAATAACTTTTTTCAGATTTTTAATTAAAAAATTTAATACAATTTGATTAACAAATTTGAATTTGTTCATGAAGTCAAATGAGTTTTGTGGTATAACAATAAAGGAAGTTTAACAGACGACCTAACTCAGTAAATACCAAGCTATGAGTAAAAGTCGACTTATTTTAGTGATATACTTACTAAAAAGATTGTGAAGTTACCTTTTGGCAGGTATGCCCTGATCAGTTGGAGCGTAGACGAAGATAAAACAGATATACAATTATTCGAAGATAAAACAGATATACAATTATTCGAGCAACGACTTTGGAAAGAGACGAAAATGAACAGATATACAATTACACGAACCACTTTGAAAAGTGTATTTGTAATACTTACTTTACCCTAACCCGAAACAGAGATGTATTCTTCTTTATATGTTTTATCTGATTTTGATTAAAATTTAAATGATTAAAAATTGTGATTGTTTTTTTTGTATTATGTAAAAAACTTAGTTTCCTAAAGGAGTATTTAATTCCTTATAATTCATATGATTTCAAATTAGTTCTAGCATTTTTCTTAATGAAAAAAATGTCTAAGTTTGATTGATCAAAGTCGTTTTTAACCCAAGAGCTTGAATCACTATGGTCCTATCTAATTGGGTGAGTCAGTAATTCGATTCATTAAAAAAATATTGAATATGTGCTGTGATATTTAATGTAGGATTTTATTATGATTAAGGTTTATTTTAATTTTATCAAATTAACCATTTTTAGTCTAAAATCAATTTTATGTAAAAATAACTTTTTATTTTATTTTTGTGTGATATTAAATTTTTGATAAAAAAGAAATAGAGTAGTCTGACAACTTGACAGGTTAATATGGTAATTTGACATATTAGATTATGAAGTTTAATCTGGTTTTAGTTAATAGATCAATTTATCCTGTTAAAAATAAATTGGATTGATCTATTTTGTTATCTTAATTTTTCCTCATTTTTATGTACAAAATGAGAATATAATTATTAAAAATTAAAAAAATATCCAAAAAATATTAATAAAAAGAATTCATATTGTAATATTTTTAAAAAATAATCAACTAAAAAAATAGTTAATGTCTAAATAATACCATTAGATGGGTAGAGACAAGAAAACATGTATTATCAAGATATATTTTATTTTTCACAAAGTATTCATCCATTTATATTTATCTACTTGTCTATCCAAGAATAAAAATTCATTTTAAATTATAGAATTTTATTTTCCTAAATTATACGTCCATTTATATCTATCTACTTATTTATCACGATAACAAAAATTCATTAAAAATATTAACAACTATATAGTTACTATTATTTTTTATTTTTGAAAAATCAATAACAATAGTCACTCAAAAAAAATAAAAAATGTAGAAATAACTTATAGTCCCCCAAACAATGCATTGTGAAGCCTTATCGAGATATAAGTTAATGGCTCAGACATGGAATGTTATAATATCCTGGTTCCAATTCAAGACTTAATTAAAAAAAAACCTATATGTCTAAATAAATTTCTAATAGCAGATTCTTAAATAAAAATTTAATTCAACATAATAAATAAATAAATTTGAATTTATTTATGAAGTCAAATGGGCATTGTATTTGTAATTAACCAGATTAAATCAAAAGAGTTAACTATTCTTTCAATTTATTTATCAGTTCAGTATGATATCTCAATCGTAACACATATAACTTTCAGACTTTATACAATTATGCACAAAACTCAATTACAAGGGTGACCTGGGATTTGTTGAGCACTCTCCTCTCATAATTAAATATAGACTAATGGAAGTGGATTACACAATGCAGTGCTGAGTCCCACATAGACTGTAATACATAACAGTCACTTGATGTTACACTCTAAATGAAGTCTCTCAACCTGAAAGAACTCATACCTTTCTCGGCCTTTTGGCTAAGATCAAGTGTAGTATCTGTTCTTATCAGTTTAATATCTGATATGTGGGTCAATGGCCCACACGATATTAAATTAATTTTTTAAAAGGGAATGTCCATAACAGTAGCTTGCTACTGGGTTCTTCATGTGTAGCCCTTGTGTTGCACTATTGCATGGGCTGGCACACCCTCCAATTTAGTTCGATGTTTTCTTTTAATAATGATTACAATAGATAAATTATATTATTTTGTAACAGTTAATTATTCTTATCTATTAAAAATTATATACATATTTTAAGTGTGGGATGGTATCTATTAAAATGTTATATAATGTTATATACATATTTTAAGTGTGGGATGGGAAGTTTCACAACAGTAGCTTCTACTGGGTAATCTTACTATATTTGTAAATTTTAAGGATATCCATTAAGAAAATATTTAATGTCTAAATGCTTAAAACCTAAAAGACAATAGAATGTGAAGGTTAATTTGGAATAATTTGATAGATATAATCTTAATTTTATATCTTAATATTTGATGACTAAAATTGTGTAATAATAAAATAATTAATACAGCTTGGTAAAATAATTTGAATATGCTTACGAAGTAAAATAATTAAATCTTGCATATATTTCAAGTTTCCTATTCTTTACACATTTAAATAAATCTTAATGTACAACAACACATTATTTACAATTAATCAATACGAAAGAAATCTTTAATCCAACATAAATTGTGAGATAACATTATCTAATGATGAATGAAGTGATAGCACAAGTTATATAGCTGACTTGGCCTAGATATACGACATTGACCATCATATTCAATATAATAAGTTAATAACTCTTTGTTCAACTCTCATTCAAAAGTGATGGTGTCACCAGAACAAACAACAGACCCTATAAAAAAATATATATAAATATATGTTGTACAGTGTATATGTAAGGCATTACTATTCCAAAGCTATATCAATAGTTTTTTCTGAAAGAAAATGCTTATATAATGGAACAAGATCAATATTTTATCTTTCTAATATCCTATTCAATCAATGTATGAAAGCTGGTGAGCAAGACAGATGCAGCACGTTAGAGTAATATTCCATTTTTCTTGGTCAGACAGAGTCTAGAAGATAAGTAGTTTTCCAAGTAAACAGCGCAGTCCAACAAACCAACACTTCAATTCTATCTTATACTGGCTGCCATCTAGAACAACCCCTTTTCTTAAACCATTACTATTATTTCAAAGCTTCTGTCCAACAATTTTAAATATTATAAAACTTTTTGGTAGCTTTGAATTAGTTGAGTAAACATGAGCCTTGCAATGCTTACTTTCAGACCAATCCAACAAGTCAAAGGAAAAACCCTAGTTCAATGCATCCAATAGATTGCTTTTTAATTGCTCTATTACTCGTACTTGCTTACGTATAACACTCATTCAATTCAACAAAGTCACAAGCATAGTGTGTTGCACAGTACACGTTCACACAATATTACTCATACACATGTTCAGAAACGTCAACTATATCTATCAGAACAACTGTCTGAACTCTAAATCTAGCAAACAAAACCAACCTTATAAATATCACACACACCATACTCTTCAAAGTCTCATATCTCACATTTCACACCTTTCTTTTCTTCTTTTCATTTTAACCCTTTTCTCCATTCATCATCATATCCATATTCTGACACCCTTTCAAACCAGAAAACATTATATAGTACTGATATATATTTGTGGCACAGTGATGATGAAGAGAGAAAGAGAAGTTGATAGCGTAACCATGGCCAACTACTTGATGTTGCTTTCTGCAGGAGGTGAATTTGAGAGCACGAACTACTTGAACTACTCTTCCAACCACCGTGTGTTTGAGTGCAAGACGTGTAAGAGGCAGTTTCCGTCGTTTCAAGCTTTGGGAGGGCACCGTGCGAGTCACAAGAAACCTAGGTTGATGGTCGGAGAGAGTGAGCATAACCAAGTTCTTCATGGTTCACCACCAAAACCTAAGACTCATGAGTGTTCTGTCTGTGGTTTGGAGTTTGCGATAGGGCAAGCTTTGGGAGGACACATGAGACGCCATAGAACATCATCAAATGGAAACACGAACAATGCTACTGCTACCACTGTTCATAATACTTCTTCACCGAAAATGAACCACAAGGGTAGCAGCAACGAGAGAGTTCTGTTTCCTGATCTGAATTTGACGCCATTAGAGAATGATTTGGAGTTTTTGAAGATCAGACAACCAGCTCCTTTGGTTCACTGCTTCAATTGAATATGTTCTTGTAGTGTAGGACACTGCTTTTTGGCTCCCTTTTTCATTTTTATTTTACTGTATGTAAATTATATTTGTTCAGTTCTTGGTATATACATACATATATATCAATAAGAAATTCATGTTTGTGAAAACAAAGAACAAGTGTCCGCGTAATTCGTGAATCAATTCTGCTAAAATAGTTTAACTGAAGGCATGTTTCATCATGGTTTATCATTAAGCTAATTAATTGTTCTGAAAGTGCTAATCTCAGGCCTGTTAAGCTTGATTTTTCTATTATGCACTTAACAACGCAGAGGTTAATTGGTTATTGTTGTTTCAAAACCTAAAAAACAGCTATGTTCCTTGTCATCTCACCAGAAAAAAAAAACCCTAAAAATACTCGAAAGATTTCAATCTTCTCTTCTCTTGAATCCTAACGTTGAAACTTTCTTTTAAACTGACATTTTATTTATCACTATTTAAGGTTATTTTGTGTACAACTCACGGTTTGTTTAATTTGTAGGTCATTTTGCAGTTGTCGTTAAATAAGATTATGAGATTGGTGTGACAATAAATTCAATTTCAGAACGTGATTCATGGTGGAAACAATTCTATACAACCTAGCACTGCAAATATAAAATTTTAAATACGAACTAAACTTTGATTTCTCTTTGTATATTTAATCAAGTCAAAGGTTGCAAACATGCATGATGCACGTTCTCAAGAAAAATAACCACAAAACGGGTTTCTTAACAGGGAATAGAAAGCGATCTGCATAACTGCTTCTGATTATTCTAAATAACTTTTCCTTTATGTATAATTAATCAAAAATACGTGTACCCTAATGCTGGTTCGAGATATATATGGTGATGATATATCACTAGGACAGCAAAGAGATAAGACATCGATTGTTTTTTACGATTGACAGTTTGAGAATCGAGACATATCAATATCAATACCTAAGAGGAGGTTGGAACATTAAATTATATATTTACTTGTTACTAATTCACAACTAATAACTTTTAGTGATTGTGTTACTTAATGCAGAACAGATCCTTATTCACGAAATTTCTTTCCATAAAATATGTAAAACAATTCGTTGGAATATTATTGTGGAATTGATTTTTGTATAATCCAATTTCTGTGGACATCATGCAATCTAGAAGGTAACAAATTTTCAAATAGCAGTGCCGTGCAGTTGGTTCCAATGAAACCTTATCCTACAACAACAACCTGCGTTCATCTAGAAACTTGTTTCATTCCCACTGTCATTTCAAACTTTGTGTTTAACAAATTTATCCATTTTAATATTTGTGGCTACTACTAGCTAGAGTAAGCTAAATTTGAGCATGGATTCATCGCAGGTTAGGGTTTTATGCTCCAAATACGAGTTTTGTAGGATTAAATTATTGAAAAGAACTCGTAATTAGTATAAAAGAATCTGGCTTTGAAAGAGTTTACGTGGTAAAATTGATGCTGTAAGACATTTGATTTCCAAGAATTAATTTGATTTAAATGTTCAAAGTTGCCACATTATATATATATATATATATATATATATATATATATATACACAATACTTTACAAATATAACAGTTATAAAAGTTGTTATAGATAAGTACATATTTTTATATTTTGATTAATTTTCAAGACTTAATGTTGAAATATCCTTCTTCTAAACAGTTTCTTCAGAATTATGTTCTAGCTAGTAATCCACAAATGCACGACAAGCTACCAAGTTTGTCTAGATAGTGTGATAAGTAAGCACATAAGATGGCCACAATTTCATGTATGAACAACTATTTTTGTAACAATTTTCTATGTAGACTTCCTTGTCAAGTATACTGTTTCATTACTGACAGGTAAAATAAATAAATCTAAAAGTTGTAAAATTCAACATAAATTATAGTAATTTATAAGAGAAATAGAAAATTAATAGGTAGAGGATATAATAAATAATAAATATTATATATTCCGATGAGTGATTTTAGGTTTAAAATAATCTGGGTTTATCAAGGAGGGAAAGACAGTGTGTTAATGGATCTTTCATCTTTATACAGTGTTTTACTTTCTCACTTTTATCCAATGTGAGACTTAGACTCACACTTAGATTAACACCTCTTACATAATCTAATTTTCAAATGGGATCTACACCTATAAACACGGTGAATAAATAATGTGTATTACCCATGTAGAAGAAGTTACACCTCGCTCAAGCTTAATTAATATAATTATCTTAATTATCATACAAACAATAACTTCTCATTACTTAAGTTCTATATTAGTTTATTTGATGTCACTATATAACACATCAAGTGTAAAAAGGTAAGTTATATATATATAAAGATCCATAAAAAAGACTATAATTTGAGATATTGTAAGTTTTGACCTGATTTCATGGTACCCCACATGAATTATATACTAATTTAGTACAAGTTACGTTAGGTAGGTGCACCAAGTTATTTATAAATCTAGAAAATGTAGTTATCAATGTTAAACTTTGAAACATGGCACACAAGATGGGATTGTCAAGTCATAGAGTGTGGCAGAATTTTCCTTGGTTAACAACATTTCAACTATGTGCTTATGTACACCATACACACTATAATCACAATAGACTTTGGTTTATCCTTAGCCATAATAATTTTATAATTTGTCTAAGTATAGCAATTTCCTTAAATTTTTCTTAGTCATGTCCCATTAGAGACTTTTGGGAGGCTTCATACAAACAACTATTTCTATTAGGAGATTTAGAAACTATTTTTGTTTTTTATGTTTAAGTGACGCGTACTTTTTTTGTCTCGAACTTAGAAATATAAGGTGTATAAATATTAGATTTATTAAATAATAATATATGAACAATTTCACATCTGATATCTAAGACTTTTCTGTAATATTATTCTGTTTAGTTTGGACTTTTTGTTAGCTGATTTTGTCATTTAGCTAGTTGAATCAAAGAAAAGAACTCTTACTTGGCTACAGTACGTGTGTTGTTAATTGTTTAATGTATGAGGTTGATTAGGACATGAAACTTACAACATTTTAGGAAGATATTCACTGATAGCTTGTTCTAGAAAGGTTGGTTTTTCGGCATGTTTGACAAAGAAGCATAACCAAAAAACAAAATGACTTTAACATTGTCAAAATGGGTCATACCCCATAGGACAATCCAATCCACTACAGATTCAAGTCGGATTGGGTTTGAAAAATTGTACTTTTATGTTATGTCTAGATATCCTCTTTTTCTATGGATAAAAGATCTAATTGATAAAGGAAGCATCGTAAGGATCAATTAACACGGTTTTCAATCGATATAATAAAAATTGTTTCCTTATCTCATGATAAATAAAGAAGTCAAGAATCCACTTATGTAATAAAGTGGATCCCCTGATATTTTGAGCAGCGGTGTAGTATCAAATCCCAAAGATAGAAAGTATTTTCTCTTTACTTATAAGAACTTAGAAGATAAGAAAGAAAAAACTTTTACCAAGATTCTATAGAAATGAATCTATCATATATTTTTATATATGATATATAAAATCGAGATAGTTACCTTTCAGAAAATTATAATTAGGGCGTTAATGCCAATGATTTATTTCCTTTTCTGCGAGTCAAATTTCAACCTTGCTCATTTAAACCTGACTTATGCCGGTTGAACCCGTGTTGGACCGGTTGACCCACCAATCCATATACCTAATTTTATTTTATTAAAATTTAATTTTAATTTTATAAAAAAATATTTATTATTATTTTTTGCTTGAAAAAATTATTTAACTTTCTTATTTTCAAAATTAATTAAACACTCACTTTGGGAGTGAAATTTGTTTAGATTTGAATTATAGAAAGTTTGTAAATTTTTTTATTTAAAAATTGTAATTAAGTGAGTCAATGAGTCAACACGTTTACCCACCAACCCGTGATAGGTCGGACCGGATTCGAATTTTCCAAACTCGTTAATAAATGAGCCAGATTTGATTAACTCACTAAGTGACCAACCCGTGGTGAGCCCAGTCGAATTGGATGGTCCGTTTTGATAGCTTTACTTTAACAGTTTTCTCACTCATGTAACTCAATAATTTTATCATAAGTGAAACTATAATCATAATAAAATTTTAGTATGAAAATTACTTTTTTTTTATAATATATTATTATTATTATTATTATATTTGGTGATTGTGCTTCTTCATTTCTTTTTTTCTTAGAAATATGATTTCGTATTTGATAAGTAAATCATTAGCAAAATGTGAACCTCTTCTTGGGCTGAAGTTTTAGCACCAAACCAAATAGTTTTAGTTTACCTGTTATGTGAAGAGCGGTCTGGTTAGTTTAGACGTTGAATTAAAAAAATATTGAGTACATTAATTTTAGATTTAATAGAAATTTTTTTTCCTATATTTGTAGTAGTAATTTAATATTTTTCTTTTTCTACTTATATTTTTATTTATATGATTCCTATATTTTTAGAAAAATTTATTATGATCGTTCATTTAAATTAATGTCAATATTGTTTAGAGAATAATCTCATTAATAAATTACTTATTGTTTATGTGTTTATTGTTTAATTCCGTAGATAAAATTGAAGAAATAACCATAATGTAGATCTAACGAAAAGAAATTACAATGAATTTATTTAAAAATATAAAAACCATATTAAATAAAAAATAAATAGGAGAAAAACATTCAATTTTTACTATAGTTATAAGAACAAAAAATTTATAATTTGTTAATAAAATTTTAAAATTATTTAATACTTTATTATATAAATACAACTCACAATAAATATTATTTTAAATAAAACATTGGAATCTCCACAACTACAAATGTAATTTATCTAAAATTTAAGGAGTGCACGTGGTTGTTGAGTCAATATTAAATTATTTAACTGTTACATAAATAAATTTAGTTTTATAAAATGTCCTATTTATCTGAAACGTCTTCTATTAGTTGTTTTACTTAACAAACATATGTAGACTTTGTTAAAATGTAAGTATATATATTCTCTACCATGTTTTAAAATAAATTATATATGCAACTCTTTCATGCATTTACAAAATAGCCACTTTTTTCAAAAGCTATTATATTTTGGTAGGTATATACACCCACAGGCTGGCAAAAAACATAAAAATCACAAATTGACTTTTTAATTTGACCCAAACAGTCAACCACAAAAGTTAGTTTTTTTTTTCTTAATTTTACAAAATTAGTAATTTGATTCCATCAATTTCATAGAATGGTCAAAGGAATTGACTATTCAATTTTCCCACAATTTTCTATACCTTATTTTGTCACAGAAACAAATTAAGTCATCATGAGAACATGCTCAATCCACTCATATGCTTATCTTTGATGTGTAAATTTAATATATATTATTAATTAAAATATTTTTTAGGTTCACAAAACTAATATCAAATATAATAAAGTTTATAAATATCGCATTTTGAGGTAAGCAAACTTATATAAACTATTTAAGATATCATAATAATATACTTTTTAGCAGTGCCATACCATTGTAATTAATTTTTATATATTTTTACAATAATAGGATAAAAGAATCTATACAATTCGAGAATGCATCATTAATATAGTTCTGGTAAAATAATATTTAAATTTTAAATATGTTGATATCTATAGTAATACCCGATGAAATATCACATCATTAATATAACCTTGTAATACATATACAAATAGTTCAATTCCTTATAATGTAGATTTTAATGTTTTTCACACAAATGCCTTATATTGAATGAGTTTTATTTCAACTTAAAACAAACACAGAACTAGACAAATATGAAACTATTAGGATACAATTATTAACATTTGACATCTTATAAGTGGCACAATTTATGCAACATAAATGCAAAAAGTGTACATTTCGTTTTAGGTTAATAATTACAAGCAAAACTCAATTAATTTTGGAGATAAATCAAGTTATACAGAGAAGTTTTTACCAACTAATATACTATTTAACCAATATAAATTAATTGAAATTTCTTTAAAGCATAATTAAATTAAAAATTATTTCAAAAAGATTTTATACTAGTTTAAAATTAATTACTTTTTCATTCACCCAAATTAATATAGACATGATTAGGGATGACAAAAAAATTCGCGCCTACGAGAATATGTGGATAAAATCCGACGGATAGTTAGTACCGGTGGATATTTACTACTCGTGAGTAGCAGATATTTTAATACTCGCTTATAAACGGATTGGGTGCTGATATTATACTATTCTTATCCGCAGATATCCGCTACCTAAAAAAAATTAAAATAAAATTTAATTAAAATTAAAATTAATTTATATTTTATAAGGTTAAATTTAATTAAAATTAAATTTTAGTTTATATTTAATTTAATTTATATTATATTTTATATATTTTTTAAATTTTTATTAAAATTTTATTTTAATAATTTATAAAACTTTTTTTAAATATTTGTGAATATTCGTGGATATCTACGAGTATCCACGAGATATTTTTTAAGTGGATATTCATATGAGAAGAGTAGATATTTTTTTTTTCAGGTTAGATTGCGAGTAGACACTGTCCATGCATCTCTAGACGTTATATATAAAGTATGAATCATTTAATTGTTTTATTGGTTTTTTAATTTTTAGAAAATTTAATACACACAATCACAATAATTTACTCTGGTCAACTTTTATAATGAGTAAAATTGATTTTAAGAAAAATGAAAAATAACTTTTTTGACATAAATTACTTCTAGGTCAGAAGCACACAACATATAATTATATTTACATCAAGCAAACTTAACTTTGTTATTTTCCTTTAAACTAGAGTTTCAAAATTTTAAACAAAAGGACTTTTTGTCCATCCAAACATCAAATCATATTTGAAAGATATTTTTTAAACACAATTTTTAATTACTTCAATTCTTTTAAAATCCTAATATAACTTGTAAACATTAATTTTAACAAATTTTAAAATGTATCCAACATATTCCTAATTATTCATTCCAAAATAAGATCACATATATTCGATCAACCATTATAAAATAGAAACAAAAGGCATTGCGGAACTATCTTTTTAAAATTACGTAGAATAAATACCATGTACATAATTTTGGATAAGAAATTGTAAAAATGCACTTGATAACATGTAATTAAAAGCATAATTTTTAATATTATGGATATATTACAAAAAGAAAAATATAAAATTACAAATTTAAAAGATAGGGAAAATAGCATAATTCTTTGATTTTAATTAAATGATCCTCAAACTTAATCACATTATGATATCTTGAACTTTGATTTTGTTCAAATCGATACTTAAACTTTATTATTTTTGTAAATGGATACCAAGAATATTAATTTTATTCTAATTAATCCTTAAAACTTATCAATATTCTATAATATATTTTTTCTAGTAAGTTTGATTTTAATCGTTTACATTAAATGTCATTAATTTTTTATTTTTCTTACCTGTGATTATAATTCATTTTTCATATGTAAAAATATGATAAAAGTGACAATTCAGAATAAAAAAATAGAATTAAAATGTCTATTCGATTTTTCCAAATAATTTTGTAATCATTTACGTAAAATTCTACAATTTTTGAAAAATGTAATACTCATGCTGCTATCGTATAAAAAATATCGATTTTATAAGTTCGAAGAGTCAAATTTAGAATCTACGGACTATGAATTACTAAAAATTTCAACAATATTCAAATTTGAAATTTACTAAAAATTTCAACAATATTCAAATTTGAAATTTACTCAAAACCATCGCATTTAATTCAGTTCAAATAAATCAATTTATTAACAATACAAGTTTTTATATAATGATTTAGTTTAAATAATATTTTTTTTGAAAATTAAAATGGTATTCTTTAGGGATTAATTACAATAAAATTAAAATTTAAGTGCGTATACAAAAAGAAAATCAATAAAGTCTAAGATCAAATTGGAACAAAATTAAAATTACAAATATTTATTCATAAATAAGATGAATTAAAATGAAATTAGCGTTCAACCAAATTATAGTTTAGGATGTTAGTTAGATACTGTTTTCTCTAAAAGAATAAAAGAATATCGAATAGTAAAATTATGAGAGCAAAATACCTTTAGTCAAAATCTGAAAAATACTTTTTTCCAAAAAATACTTTTTTTCCTAAAAAAAAGCATGGAGATGCGAAGAAAACATAGGTACAACAAGAACAAGTCTTTTATTTCCTTTTCTTATTGTTTCTTTCGTCCAGTAACATGTAAAGTGATAAAATGAAAATACTGTGGTGGGTTAAGACATGTTTCAAGTTATTGATGAGAAATGTAAAACGTAAATATGACAATTTTTTCTAACCGCATTCTATCATATCATTCAAACAATGGAATGAAGAATTTATTCCGTTCCATCTTATGTGCCTCTACTAATCCAAACATAGCCTTAGATTTTCATATTCACTTCAATGTTTTTAACCATATATAATGAGATAAACCTATACACAGGAGGTTTTTAGACTGGCTAGTCCTAAAAGATAGAACCCAACACTGGTCATTCCAACAACAGAGCTAATGCTTTCTTTGTTAAAAAGTAGAATAAGAAAACCTAATGTGTAATTTGCTAAGTGTGGACATTAGTTCTTGGAAAGTAATCCAGATTATCCTCTTACTTAGGATCCATAAGACACACTTGGAGGGTTGTTTGTGATCCACAGAAATCATGACTACTGGTTATTTTTTGTCCTACTACTTCACTCTGAGAGTTGTAGAACATGGCCACCACTATTGTTGTCACATGTCAAAGGGCGCACCACCCTTTTCTGACATGCCAGAACAATAGAGCAACAATCATCTGCACTCCATATCTCTTAGCAAAGTTGATAAGGTCAAACACAAACGCCGCCTAAAGCAAGGAATGGTGAAACAACGTGGGACAAATGTTTTTGAAACAAACTCAACATAACAGAACATCTCTACTCTCAGATGTTTCTGCACTCTGTCAAATACTATTGACAGCTCTGTATAGCAAAGCTTTGTAAGTTGAATTTTGAATTTCTTTTTACTCAGCTATACTTAGTTGTAAACACACGAGGCACCTGAACTAAAGCTCTCACTAAAATTCTCCCACGACAACAACTTCCGTCCTCTGCACCATAATGTGAGAATGAGTCTGGGTCACTGGGGAGAATCATTGGAGAAGAAATTGGTGACATGGATGAGAGTTTTCATCGGAAAGCCCTAGCGGGATTCATAAGTTATAATCTATTAATAGGACGCACAAAACTACTGGTTTGAATTGATCAACACATACATAATCATGCAACCAGTGATTACAGGTGAACCAAATCTGAAATTAAAGTGAATGAAAAGGGCATGGTTTTAGATTTCATCATTTCTGTTTTAACATGTGCTATCGAGCAGTTTCACAGTTGATAAACATACAACATATGCATGATTCAAATTGATAAACAGCGGAAGATGAAGATTGTTTAATATAATAATAAATTGAAGCATAGAAACAGAATAGAAGCGAAGGTGTGATCTAAGAGAGTGAGTTAGTTAGGGTTTTGAGGATGGTCTTGGGGGTTACCGAATTTTTCTTTGAAGGAATTCTGGCGCTGCAACCACATCATGTGACCCTGAAATTGAAAACGCAAAACAACAGAAGAAAGTAGATGAAGAATTGAAGAGAAGGGAGAAGAATAAATGTGGGTAACCTACCTTACCTGAAGAGCTGCAGCCCAAGCAATGATGAAAGATGCCATCCAAAATTTCTTGTCCTTCACCACATTTTTCAATTCCATTCTTATTCCAATTCAATTTCAATGGCTTCTTCGTGTTTTGATTCCTTCTTCCCTAATGCAGCAATCACAACGCCATTTTCTTTAAACTCTTCTCTTTGAACAATACCAGGCCACACAGATAGCCCAATCATACACTTTCCTTCTTCGGTGTTACTCCCTCCACCACCACATTTTCTCCCTCCACCTCCCCAATTCTATTACATATTTTTGAATTACAAAACTAACCTTTTATAATTACAAAAATAACCTTTTTACTTTTTAATCCTAATTATTTATTTTAACTCTAAAATCTATCTTTTTACCCCTTCTCACCCACCTTTCAACCTTCTCAGATTCTCATCCAAACTCCATCACATCCGTTTCTCATCTTCCATTTTTTCTCCATAGGCCTGATATGCCTCCTCCTCAAAAATGCATTATTAAAATACATCAAAATATATTCAAAAATAATATATCAAAAAATATAAATTATATTATTTAAATATCTTTAAAATTAATATAAAAAAACTGTAAAATATAAACCGTATAATCTTTAAACAGATGTCAACATCCGTTTAAGGGAAAACGGATTAAACGGATTAACCGGATTAAACGGATGTTGACATCCGTCGACGGATGCTCACATCCGTTTAACGATTACGGTTTATATTTTAGGGTTTTATTACGCACCTTTACGCCTCTGAACCTCTCACGCCTCTGAACCAGCACCTTGAAGCACCACCCCACTCACGACTGAAGATGAATTGCTTTCCCCACTTTCAATCTTACTAAACACAAAGTCCACCACACTCTCACGTCACAATTCTATAAAAGAGAAGAAGAAGTGGAACATGAGAGACAAACAACGATAGTAGAAAATAAGAGTGAACCTAAGAAAAATAATAAAGAGAAAGAGGGAAAAATGATAAAGAGAATGAATGTTCACGTGAGATTTTAAATAATATTAACCTTAAAATTTTAATAAGAGTAAAATAGGAATGAAAAAATAAAAAAAAGGGTAAAAGGAGAATGGGGTGGTGGAGGAAGCGAGTTGTGGTGGTGGAGGGAGTAACACCCTTCCTTCTTTCATGAGGCCCAAAAATAGAGGGTTACTCCCTACACCACCCCACTTTGCTCCCTGCACCACCACATTTTTTTAAAATTTCAAAACTATCCTTTATATTTTAAAATATCTTACACCCCACCTCTTTTCTTCAACGGATGTCAACATCCGCTGAAAAAAAAATTCTTCCACGAACGTGCCACATCCGTTGCCTTTTTATGTTTTTTAGTTTTTAGTTTTTTTATTTTTTTTTGTTTTAAATTAATATATAAATATTATTTAATTATTTTAAAATTATTACTTAATTATTTATAAATTAATTTTATTTTATTTAATAAAATAATTATTATTAATTTTAATTTATGTATTATTATTTAAATAATAATTAAAAAATTTATTATACATATATTAAAACGGAAGTGGATGTGGCGACATCCGTTGCTTTTTTTGTTTTTTAGTTTAGTTTTTTTATTTTTTTTTGTTTTAAATTAATATATAAATATAATTTAAATATTTTAAAATTATTACTTAATTATTTATAAATTTATTTTATTTTATTTAATAAAATAATTATTATTAATTTTAATTTATGTATTATTATTTAAATAATAATTAAATTTTTTTTATAAATATATTAAAACGGATGTTGCGACATCCGTTGCCTTTTTTTGTATTTTACTTTTTAGTTTTTTAATTTTTTATATTTTAAATTAATATATAAATATTATTTAATTTTTTAAAAATTATTATTTAATTATTTATAAATTAATTTTATTTTATTTAATAAAATAATTATTATTATTTTAATTTATATATTATTATTTAAATAATAAATAAAAAACTTTTTAAAAATCTATTAAACAGATGTGACACATGATGTGTCACATCCGTTGAAGTTTTTTTTTTTAAATAAAAATAATAAACTAAAATATAAAATATGTAAATGGATGTTACGGATGTCAACATCCGTTGAAGGTGAAACGGATGTTGACAGCCGTTTTATAGAAGGGTAAATAAGGTATGGGGAGGTGCAGGG